ACACTGCGCAGAGACGAAAAACACTGAAGTTTCTCCACAGATGACACCGAACAGCTCATCAGCTTTTCGAACAGTTAGAGACAGTATGTCTCTATCTTATCTATATAGATATATATCTGTACCTATAGATACGTATCGATGCTTCAGATAGATTTATGTGTGATTTTATATGCTATTATTTAGGTGACTAGCTGGGCTCAGTGGTCACTGAGATGCGCTATTGGTATGCCTTTAATCGTAGAAGTTGACAACAGAAGTTAGAAAAGAATAGTAAGGGCACGAGCCACACGTCCAACAATAAAAGCTAATAACATTTAATTTAACTCAGGACAGTCGACAAATAATGGACCGCAGGCGCATCACTATGGCATATCTAACGCAAGCAGCTACTAATGCCTAAATTCAAATACACGTTGCTATAGTTAGCTGCCTGCATAGACTGGATTTTGATTTTACAACAGACCGCTAATCCAATTTTGAAAATATATCATCTGTATCTTCAGGGACATGTCAGCTATTTTTGGCTCCGTTAAAACTTCAATATTTTTTAATGTAGTTGCAGAAAACACCAGTAATTGGCTAGAGTTAATGTGTACTCCGCTACATAAATCGACATACATGTAGGTTTTGATGAGAAGGTTGGATGAAAGCTTATTCGAAACACACACAAAAGCGTAAGGCTCACATTAAACGCGGTGGCATATAAGATCAATTATTGTATATTAATGCTTTTATAATATATTTCACTTGCCCGCCAATGGTTCAAAATGCACATAATAATAACATCTATTCATATAATAGCTTGTCCCGAAACACTTTGACCGCTAAACTGTAGCAAGAATGACTCCGTTTGCAGAAACCGTTTTGGCAAAAGTCGGGTCTATCAATTAGAGAACAAGAGTTTAATTCCATAATATATATATATATATATATGACTTGTTGTGACGCAGGCACTATAATTTGCCCAAATATATATGACCGGACTTGTTGTAGTTTCTTGTACGTTCCTGATCAATGAAATACACACTTCACATGTTCGGCTTACGAATCTTTTTTGTCCCGACAATTTGACACAATCGGGTATTCTGCTTCGTAACAATATTGTATCACACAACTAACTTTATCGAAAAGTCTACGCTCTATGTGTGCTATAAATACGGGACGGCCAGGTTTCTTTGTACTGGACCCCAGTTTTCTCCCTTCTTACCTTCCTCTATGCTTCTTTAATACAAATGCGTTTACATCGCTTATCGGCGACGATCATATCAAGGTTAGGAATATTTCACGTTTCGCTTCATTCTCTCACTCGCTCGCTACTGCCCCGTCATCGCTACCACTACTGTTCTTACTACTTCTACTCTAAATACAACTACCGCTACCGATGCCGTCACTCGTTTTAAGAGTTGCGACAGTACAGAGAAATCTACCGCGCAGCAGAAGACGATAACTGAGATAAACGAAAGGACCCTGAGATCGTTCCTATTGCGTTAAAAAGGAAGAGCGTTTCGTGCCAAAGTGACTTCCTTACCTCAGCTATGTCATTGTTACAGAGAACATACATCTCTCTTCGGACAAACTGAACATTTTCTAGTACATCCCTATAATGTATTCATTAAGATAGTAATTTTTTTTTACCAGGCTACCTGGCTAGCATGGAATGAATAGCGGTTAACACATAGTTGCACGGACGATCCCAACTCATGAAAAGCATGATTCAAGTGCATGACAAGAACAGACACGCTGTTTTACAGTATCATCGACGTGTCGGTACTTGTGCACTCTATCATCGGCCCAACTGTGTCGAAGCAACGCTTACTTGAATGGAGTCACCTAGCACCCAATAGTCTCCAGTGATGATTGGACTGAACGTGACAATTGCCGAACAATATAAGGTCACCAATGTTGAATGCAGACACGCAAGCGAACGCAGTTGAACATGCTTCGTCACGATGAGGCAAGACAGTATAAATCGCGCCCGGCTGACGCTGAGACTTAGCGTCGTTCATTCGCAGCTATTATTAGTTCAATTAAATTCGACGGGCATCACACCACTAGCGTTATCAATAGATAATTAGAGCAACCATGCTAACATGACAACACGATATTGACTCGCGGGGAAAAATGCCCACCGAAATAGAAAGCAAACGCCTGACCTTACATTTCGTCGGAAATTGCAGCACGTTATTGTCCTATGACCTGTTTCCTAACATATTACACAAAACAAAGCTCATCGCAACATGCTGACCAAGCCAATTCTGTCTCCTCGTAACAGATGAGACGAGAATTTTGAATTTTCAAACTGTCCCCCGCATCGTAAAAAGGCCATCTGATATAGGCCGCTTTTGTGAACATTCGAAATTCGCTAGCGACTGTACACGTTCTTCTGTTATTTTCTCACTAAAGAGATATTTGATAAAGAAGCAGTTTTTTTTTCATACCTTTATTCCAAGTTAGGAAATTTAAAAAACGACATCGAAAACCCACAACTCGCACTAATAATATGTTTTCATTTTTTTCTTCTAATTATTGATAACATCCTGGAAGAGTTCTCCGATAGATAACGGGCTGCTGCATCACCGAGTTGTGTGAGAAGGCCATTCGTGACTAGCGGAGCGTTTATTTAAAAAATCTTTGCATAGTCCAGACGAATCAGGTCAACGAAAATTCAAATCAACGAGCGATAAGCAATTAGCAGTAGCAGATAGAGCATGATAAAGACACTACAAGATTAACAAAAAGCCATATGTGACGTGACAAATAATGAAGTATTATAGGATGCAGTGTAATGTACTAATAAAATATCTTTAGCAGAAAGAACAGCAAAGCTGAGCATTTCAAGCAACAACCATTCTACGTCGCTAAACTCTGTTGTGCAAAGCTTAAATAAAGTAAAATGCTTTATCCTTCTAATGAAACGCTTATATGAAAAAATTTGAGTCATATAACTGCCCTTAACTTGATCTGTATATCTAAGAATTGATATAATCTAAGAGCTGAGTGCACGATATGCTAATTGAAGCATCAAGACGTCTATCTAGGTGCTGAACGCTTCGGCACCACAACCCTGTTCAAAAATAACGATGATATCGGCACGAAGTGCACGCCGCTGGCAAACGCCAAGCTAATACAAAGATTTTCCAGCAAGGCTTTCTCCGCGTCAGGGCCAACAACGCTTAAGCGTGATTCTGGTGGCACAAATTCTTTAATTTGTGCCACCAGAATCGCACTTTGTAGCCGCACGATTGGTTTAAAGTGATATTACTATGATAGTAATGATCGTGATAGTTACTGCTGGGGCGCCAGCAATAATGGCGTATATTACGTGCTAGCGGTCACTAGGAATTTAATGGTCGCTAGACCTTCAGAGTCTGAAAACGAGACTTCAGCCAAAAGTGCCAAAAAAACCACAATACCACGTAGAGTAGACAAGGCCTCTGTGGTATTTGGCCAAATGAGACTGCACCGTGTACCGCCGACTGACGGATGGTACACGTGCATAATTTACTATAGCACCGTTGCTGTTTCGGTAGATACGTCCAGTCAGCCTGACAGCCGACCAGCCAACAACCACGATCTCAAACGAACAATATGACTTTACCCACTTAGCGAAATGGTAAATTTTGCTAAGTGGGCAAAGCTGATAGTGGCCCACTATTTGCCGTTTGATTTCCTGCTCTATTTGTTACGCGACGTTATTGGAATGAGCGGGTGACGTTTTGTGCAACGCAGTAAGCAGCTCAGATGACGACTGAAAGCGTATACATACATACACGTTATATTTGTTATGAAATAAACAACTGGCTTATTATGGTATATGAAGAACCCACATATTCCACGAATGCTTCTTACATTCTGATTGATGAGAACGAAAAATAACATTAAACACGCATAAGACATGCGTTTAAAGATAACTCCGATTCTCATTTCCTACATAATATCGCTCTCTTGTAGCGCGATTGAGTGTATTCTGCTGTCATGTCTTTGCAGACCGTTTATTGTGTGCTTGTAGAACATCTAGAGCTTGCATTAAGACACATTGTCTTCCGAATCCACAGTTATACAGATCACCCATATACTTCAGTAGCTGTCAACTCTAACGCATTAACGGAAGTTCTTTTTTAATGCGGCTTGTAAGTAAGACTACTCTTTCATATGTTTGCGCCCACTTTTTGGCAATTATTTCGAGTTACAGGGACAATAGTACTTGCTACGCATACAGAGTTCCCTTAAACAAATCAATATATAAAGCCGAGTCACTTAAATAGTGATGCTCATGTTTTCTTTTCTCAATGGCATTTCGAGAAGTCAGCAATGCCCTCTACGCGCGCCCAAAATTGTCCCTCGGCAACAGACGATACACAGACATCGTTACCAATATGCCTTTATGTAAATCCTGCGATATTAGCACTTTTCATATAAAAAAAAATATACAACGTTATTTAATGTGTAAAAGGGACTCATCGGATCTATTAAACCTAGGCACTTTGAGATAAGGGAGCTATATTTTCTATATTTCCTATACTAAAGTTTATTGATTGAGGTATTCTAAATCGATTTATCACCAATATGGATTTAAAAAGTTGGCTGTTTTTCCATAGCTCTGATTTTTAAACATCTTGGCACTGATACATTTAGCCAATACGTTGCTTAGAATGTTTCTATCTACTTCAGTCGTTAAAGGGATGCACGATACTACATTATCGTGCAAAAAGTGACTACCATGGTGTACAACCTGTCAAGATACTGTACTGCTGTTTATGTTGTTTGCACACCAATGGCAGTTTTCCTAAAACAGTAAACTGTTCTACCTTGAACCAAAACCAAAGGCTTGGGGGCCTTGGGGCAACAGCAAGACAGCTGTAATACTAAAACAGCAACCTCGCTTGCTATATAATAGAACAAAACCAGCTTCCACCCTTTTAGATAACATGCAACTCAGCGGCAAATCACTTTTATGCATACTATGAAGCGAATCATACACAACTATTATATGTACGCACCGATCCCAAGTAGTAGTATCCATGTAACTCAGCCAACCGTTTGACGTCCTCAACACTGCCCGGCATTTTCACAACGAATTCATTTGAGAACACGGGTGGCGCTTCTGTAGGTGCTTCATCATGAACGCCAACATCCTGATATCTAGTTCTGTCACCAGTCACACTGTCATTTTCAGTACTTGTTCCTTTTCGACTACTGCTAATTGCATATCGACCACTGTCCAAGTTTTGTTGCTGACTTTCTTTACGGGCCGTCGTAACCTCTGAAGTCCTTATGCTAAGATCACCTAATGCTAGGCCCCGCTCATTTCTCTGAAGGGCGTCTGCAGAGTTCACACCTGCCCTGCTGATCGCGAATACGGTCAATAGTCCGACGGCGATCTTCCTAAGTAGCAATCCATCACAAATTACGGTATAGGTTTCTCGTCCCGCACGAGCGGTGCGCGCTCGAGAAGGAGACTGCTGCATCTGCCCCTGCGACGGTCCCGAACCGTCACAGCGTATTCTTAAACTCATTTCTACGTAAGGTGCACGAAGACGCACAAGAGGTGTGCGCGTGTGCCCGCGTACAACTACAATCGCTCCACGATGATCAACTCAAGAGGCGCCGTTATGCTCATATAATGAGCTCGTGCTTCTTGCAGCTAATCTTATATTCCGCTGTAACCGCAAATGTAGCTGGTGGCAATGGCCCTCCCAGACACTCGGACCATTCGTGGCAAGGGAGAGTGTACGCCACTGTGGAGGATAGCAGATAGCAGCAGCTGTAGGATAGCACACTGCCGACAGAGTAATGATGTGCACGCATACGCAGACAATCACCTACAGCGCCAATTCAGGTCCGACTACCGATACGGAACTCACGAGGGATACGATTTTTATTCTCAGTTGGAAGTGGGTGGATTATCTAGCCGTTTATTGCACTGTACGAAGCACACACAATTCTGATGCAGGTCTCATTTAGATCATCATTAGCTAGAACAGATATCGACTGTGTTCGAAGCTATTTTTGACGAAGTGAGACGACGCAACTGAGTGATGATACAAGCGAAGCGGATCGTGGCCGTAGTACACGTCCGAGGTGTTACTGCTGCTGCTACTATTCACCAAAGATTATTACTTCCTAGTAAACAGTAGCAGCAAAACGACTGTTATTATTATTGGGATTCGGTTGTGGTATCCGCCTTTTCACTTACTCGATTGTCTTGATGCCTGAGGCAGTTGATGTCTACGTTCGGACAATGACGTGGTACTAATTACCGTGACGACGACCTCCTGCAGTGTCGTCACTTCAGTGTAATCTGTGTCCACCACTGACATCAGCTCAAGAATATCAACGCATTAATTTAACTCGACGCTGGCACTGGCCACCGCTGACGCTTCGATTTGTCGCTATCTCGGACGCTCACACACACACACATACACACACGCAGACACGCACGCACGCCCGCCCGCACGCACACGCACGCACACACATACACACACACACACACACGCACACACACACACACACACACACACACACACACACACACACACACACACACACACACACACGCGCGCACTCAAAATCCCTGTCTCTGTTTCACTTTGTTTGGATCTCCTCTGTCAGATCTTCTGAATGGAAGCGCGTGGCGACAGGAATCAGCAGTTGAGACTGAGCAATAGCAGCAGCAGTAATGGATTTGCACCCTCTGAGGCAGATAACTGCAATTTTCTTGTGGTTTTTTTTCAAACTAATGCTGTCCGTGATCCCATTTTGTCTTCGTAATTCAGTATTTGATGCCCTACTACCTAAAATGTTTCAGAAATTAAAAATGGACTTGGACACAATGACTGCTTGCGGTACACAACGATGATTGTTCGAAATCTTTATTTTCAGAGTAAGCTAGGTTGAATTTAATGATGATTTTGAGGACGACGATGATTGCTGTTGGCTGGAGGCGCTCTATAGCAGTCGCAGCTGAGCGCTGATCTCCAGAAGAACGCCGAGACCGCTGCCTCAATGGCAATTCTGCTCCACTGTTCAGTAACGCTGCTATAGCGGGACGACCACACTGCTGCTACTGTTGTTATTGTTTCAGGCGCTGTGGGCAGAGTCTCACGAGATGAACATCCTCATTGTATCAATGCTGGTTCGTCCGGTTTATCAAACAGTGCTGACATAGACGATCGTCAAAAGAAAGCACACTCAATGATTTTCCAATAGCTATCCTCCATTCGCAGTGGCCAATGTGACTCTAGAAACGTAGGAATATATAATAGGACATGTCCTACTTGAGCGTTTCCAGTTAACAGTGATAATCTTCGACCGGTCGGCGTTTCCTTTTTTTTTTTTGTTAAGCGGCGGATCACTTCGTCAAAAGGCAAACTGCATGATGATTACACGACTGAACGCAGACTGTGACAACGGATCGAAACTCTACTCATTTGCTGTATGCCGTTCTATCTGTTTGCACGGTATCTCGATTCTCCGCGTGCGAACAACAACAACAACAACAATACTCAATTCAATTTGCTACTCGATTAACTCTTTTTTGCCGTCACTGTCCGTCACGGTAAGGCACCACTAGCACTGTTGTACCTATTGATCACCATTACCACTTAACAACAACAACAACAAGAACCATCATTACGGCTCTCTTTGACTATCATTGAAGCATCTATGCATGGAGCGAGTCGCTGATAGCATCGTAGTCGATCCACACCGATCCTGTCTGAAGCAACGAACGAACGAAACCCAGCCAACAGTGACTCTCTCTCTCAGCAGCAGCAACGCATACAGCCGGCCGCTGGTTCGTCCTGACCATTGAGGGCGACGACGAACCCACGACTGTGAGCAGCAGAGTCGTCCGCCTGGCGCAGCATCAGCGCCCTGTCTATCTACTCTCCTCGGCAACGAGTTCGTCTGCGTCGACAAACAACAACAGACAGGCAGCAGTAGCGAAGAGCTGCGCACCACAACACAACGACGGGCTAACGCAGACAGTACAACTACGAATCAATACACGCACTGAGTCTTTTGCTCTGTTGGCGTATGAACGCATGCGCTAGCGGAACAAGAAGACAACGCCGAACAGCGGCAGAAAATGGGCGGCGACGTATGTAATGGCGATGACCATCCACCACACAACTAATTGTAGCAGAAAACGTTTTAAAACAATGAGGAAGATATTCATAACAGTGGAAAAAAGCAGAAAGTGTTCACCGCGACAGCAGCAGACCGCACAGCGTGCGTCGGACCGCCATCGGGAAAGGGTCTCCTTCTCTAAACACGCCAAAGTGGGAGAGCACGCGCGGTTCTTGTTTAAAATGTCCATTGACAGCTGGTGTCAATAATACTAATTTGAAATCGTGCCCCAAACAGCTGGGCCATTTGATACATTGGCTATTTTTATCCAAACCATCAGAACATCACTGGACTTTTCGGACGTGCCCGTGGATGAAGGACACAGATATTCAAAAATTGATCGTAGCAAGTATTTCAAAACCCTCGGGCTTTTTATCGAAGTTTTCACGTACGGCATATCTTTACTAGGTTCATGATAAGTGTAATCAAGGATTTCTATTAAGAGTGAGTGACAAAGGATTGCTGTGCCAGGCGACTGAAAGCATTCAAAAGATTATACGCATATGTGCATATTTTTGGATCGAGGACATACGTGTTATGCACATTTTATAACTTGTTAACTTGTTCGTTATCGAATTATCTGTGCTCGATGATTGTCGAACTTACAGGACAGCAGTCCAAGAAACAATTCTAACAATTCATATAGGCTATTAGGCTCTTTTCCTTCAAGAGAACAACTAACAGCGTGCCTCTAATTGTTATAATCAATTTACCGCTACTATTGCTACTACGACACCTCCCATTATAAGACAAAAACATATTTTAAAAAAGCCTCACTTTTTTTAGAACGCATTTACCTGACAGAGAAAATTTACAACCAGTGCATTACGATAAAAGGACGGGCCACTCGTGGCGATAAATGCGACCATAATAATAAACAAGCTACATAAGAAACATAACTAGGCAGTCCCACTTGGCTCTCTCGTAAAAGGTAAAAAGAATGGTATTACTACAGTTTAGAAGGATTAGAGTCAGGTGGTGAGATATATTTTTACACACAGGAACGAGGAAGATCATATGCAAGACAGATGCAGCTCTACCCCAAGATAAACTAAGGTGCTTACTAGGAAATTTAGCTTAGATCCTCTCGAATTCTATACTTAACTATAATATCCTTAACAAGTTGTAGTAATAATTCGAGTTCACTCTTTCTAATGCATGTAATGGCGGTGGTTTAAATTTAAGGTTGCTCCCTCGATTTTTCTTTTCTTTCTAACTAACGGTTGAATCGTATATATATTACTGATATTACTATCGGGTCAGCTAAAGTGGTATATGTGTATATATATGTCCTTGCAAACTTAGGTCATAACGATAAAATTATAAATGTATTAATAAACGCAGTCCGATTAAAAACCTTTTTCCAAAAACGTCTATACATTTATTGCGTGCCAACTAACACGGTCTGAAATAACAAATCAGTTTTATCAAGTGGGTACTGAATTGGCTATCTGTAAGACAGTACGAAAGAAGCGGTGTTTTTTTTGACAATTCAGGTATTATAATTGCATTTAGTCATTGTAATATTAACAAAAGAAGAAGAAGGATATAACGAGCAATATTACTATACGAGGCAGGTTCGATCATACTTGATGAGTTATAATTGACAATAAGTGCAATTTCAAGATACGACAAAAAAATCGTTCTTCAGGTGGGCTTGTGTTAAATAGTAGAGTGTTAAGAAGTGTGGGCATTAATAAAGGTTGGACCGATGGAAAAATTTCTTATTTAAATTGCATTGATTTAAATTATGTTAAATCAAAACTGATGTTTCTGGGATGGTGCAATAAAGCGTCGTTCAACGTTTGACACTAAATGACTTAAGACGAGCTCGCCAGATGGCCAAGAAGCTTTTCCTGTTAATCTTCCAAATTTTGAACAAAGCTTATAAACTAAATGGTTGACATCTGCCCCCATGCTATTAGAATCATAGATACAAAATGTAAAAATAATTACCTTTACGTACATATATATTACTTATTATGCTTAATAACAGAGTTCGGGAGGTAAATATCACATGAATGTAAAAATCTGATATGCGTAATGTAAGTAGTGTCATGCCAATGCATTAAGGGGTGGAACAATGAATGAGTGCAGCTGTCAGAATGGTATCGACTACGCGTGATATATATATATATATATGTATATTCTTCGAAGCTTAAACATATGCCAAAACAAGTAAGTGTTTGTCATTATTTTTAAGACAACCTGAGTCATCCCGTTGTAGCATAATATAAATTTATATTAGGTTAACTTGAATTTGTGTATTTTCTTTGGATTCTATCATTAACAATGACATTTTTCAATTATAACGCTAATGGATACATGTAAGTAGTAGCATAAGATTCAAACAATAGCTCGGATCTATTTCTGATGAAATGTTATCATCAAATAGACATGTGAAACCGTTGCCTAAGTTTAGATATGCTAAAGTAAGTAAGGGCTTGCTTGTATTGATACATTTTGTCGTTATTCCCTCGTGAAAGAAATAATATCTTTGAATCGCCGTCATAGCGTTATGCAAAAGCATAGTATGTGAAGTATTGTGGGATACTTTTGTGGCATGTTCTATTATAAACTGTGCATGCCTGTGCCGAACTTCCGCCATGAATTGTATTTGATACTTATTATTGGGCCAGTTTGTTATTTCGCAAAGCATTTTTTTAAAATTTTTCATATCATATATGTCCTATGTTAAATTTCGATTCTGTTAAGACGAAATATGCAAGCTAGTAAAAACTAGTAGTTTTTTTTACATAGTTGTTTTTTTTTGCTTTAGTTAGAGAAGTGCCTAATAGGTGTGTGGATCATGCGACTTTCTAAGAGGCCGCTATTTTCACGCGCCTGTTCACCCGTTTCTGTAAGAGGTAACGACAAAGCTATACTTTAAATGGGTCCTGTTGTTTCTTTTCCATTTACACCAGTATCTGCCATACTGACTTTTCATCCGCGGGCTGCGTTTTTATTTTACGTTTGTATATATCCAGCTAATAACTGGCGACAGAGTAAAATCACACTGAGATGCCTGGATATGACACTGAGTAGATATTTTGCGAGGCGTACCAGGCGGCGATTTCTGTGTATTACTGCCACGATTGCCTTTAGGCTAGTATTACTTTAAGCTTGATATGTCTATTAGATGTTGGAAGCATGTTACTGCAACATGGAGGTATGGTTAGAAAACAGCAAGCTGTGTATGCGGCTGGATAGTTACCAAGTTCTAAGCACTTCTATTTTAATGCAACTGTTTTTCACTCACAAAATTGAAGCTTCGCTCTTTATCGTTTTGCGTCTACTAATGCATTATGTTTGTGAGAGTTAACATTCATCGATTGAATTCTGATCCGTAAATACTTTCTAGTATTTTTGAGCGTTAAAATAATGAAACCAAAGCAATTTCTGAGGTTTTACCCTTACCACCCTCAACATGCGCCAGCTGGCGTAACGGACACAATAGAGGTTTTCAAATGCTACATGTCCCAACTTTTATCACAAAATTAAAATATACTCTGGCGTTCCTTAATAAATCGAAAAAGAAAGAGAAATAGGCAGTTACAGACTGCTTGAGCCTTGATTTTATTTTCAAACGTCCAATCATGACCTCAATTATTGCTCTAGTGAATACAAGTGGAGCACCATAAACGTACTACGCTACGTAAAGGTTGATGACAGTCTACCATTCGTTTACGAAAATGAACTATTGAATGGCTTGCAAATACACCTATATGAGTTAAAATATATGTTAGCCGGGAAACGCATAGCTGGGACCTGGAAATACTTTTTTCTTTTCTGAAATTCGAGTTGCTTCTGTTAGTAACAGCCACATCTTAGTCCGGTTTGGTTTAAACGATCTCCTGTTGCACGTACTATTTTCAAAAATGCAAGTTATTTTTTATTGACATTTTCATTGGAACTCATTCGTTTTGAAATATGTCGTTGGCACCAAAGTGTGACTGCAGGGCACGCTGATATTTTTTATGTTCATTTACAAATCTCTCAAATTAGTCTTTCAAGATCAACAAAACTCGTATAACTCGTACGACACAAGGTGCGTAAGCGCCTCCATATACTAATTTTGACCTTGGGATACGATGTGCCGGCTTGAGTATATAGATATTTTGACTACCAGCAGCAAAGGTAAATAAATGAAATTCGATTTAATTTTGCCTACGTTCGAATCGACCGCGCCGCGTTCGACACTTAAGTAGTCCAAGCTCAGACAGGTGCTTCTTCAAATTGCGCGCTATCCGCTGGCAGTGGCCGCCGTTGTAGCGGCCTCAGCTAGCCGTGGCACGATTGTGGTTCATTCATGTGGCACTAATTGACCGCAGGCAACTCCAGGCAACCCTGCTGTTAGGTGGCTGTATCGGTGGATGGACCTGGGACGACAGACAGCATCGCCAGTAGTGGAGTGTGGCTCTGTGAGGAAGTTGTGTGCTTGTACGTCCTGGACAACACATAGACACAGATAACGACGACGAACTCGTGAATAGGACATAGCCAAACGAGATTCAAGCCCCCTGCGGAGAGTGAAGACAGTAAGGCAGGACTTTCGACAGGCCCCGCCAGGTATGAGGACACAGAATAAATTTTTGGAATTAACAGCAAGCGTAGTAGTACTAGTATTATAGTGTTGTACCAGCAGCATCGACGACCCAGTACAACAGTTTAACAACGCAGCGGCAGCAGCAGTGTAACTGCCATCAATTAGCCAGGAAACCTCCCCCAACGACTTACTACTGCTGTGGGTCGAGCCGCAATGATTAGTGAGAAATATAATAATGATAATAACAATACTACGACAGAACTGCAGTTGTTCACCTGAAGCCAACAGCAGTACTTGCAACCGCAGCACACAGGACTGCTGGTTGACTGGCTGAAGCAGCGGCAGGCACACGGCAACCGCTCGAAACTGCGTAACGACGACGGCAACGCAACAACTTCGCTAGTTACTGCTGCTGTTGAGACAACTGTCGTGTCGCTAATGTAGAGATAAATGGAGATTGGCCGATTAATCGCAGTAGTGATAGTTGCTGTTGCTGTTGACTAATGCCGTGCTTCGGTTCGTACAGCCCCAGTTTGCAGTAATGACATGGTGCGTACGCCAATGATGCAACCGCTTAAGCCGCAATTCAAAGAATACTAGGATACATTGAGGATATTCTCCACGACCCAATGGACAAAACTGGCAGCAGGAGCGGCGGCGGCACCACCATCAGCAGCCATCAATGTCGGCGCTTAGAATAGCAGTGAAGGTGGTGAAGTGTGTGCGGGAACGAGCAATGCTGGGGGAGTTACCAACCAATAAACAAATAACCGTCACAGCCAGTTGTAGCTAAAGCTACTGTATCTTTATCATTATTGTCGTACAGGACTCTTAGCAGCGGCAGGTCAGCCAGCCAGCTAGCTGCTACGCAGGCAGGCAGGCAGCCAGACAGACAACAGGCCATAGTTATATTGCAACGTTATTAAAATAGTGATACAGCACATACCGTCGCAGAGTGAATAAGTGAAGTTGCTTGTTGTCGGTCATAGTGTAACTGTCCGGTCATTGCGTTCCGGTAGACAAAATTGATCCGAACTGTGACGACGACGACATTCGGCGATAGAAAGGGAGACCTAAAGATAGAGACATGGAGATTCATGTACTTAGCTTAATAGCCAGTTATAGTCATAGTGGGAGTCATCGTCGAAACGCACCATAAAAACTTAGTTCTGCCGCTACCGCTGCCGTTATTGTCCTTGTATCGAGTGTGTGCCGATATGTCTATACCTAGCAGAATAGATAGGTGAAGTTAGTTCGTGTGGTCAGGTCGACTATTTGTGTACCTGTGGACCTGACTGTGGTGGTACGAGTGATGGCGGAGATGTTGTTGTTGCTGCTGCAGATGTTGTCGTCGTCGTCGTCGTCGTCGCTGTCTGGGGGTGTGCGTACATAGTTCTGGTACATCGTGAACAGCGTGCACTGACCTCCTGTCCGAACTTGTGCTTTCTCGTGTAATCGTATCATCGTTGCTGTTGTCAAACAACAATCGTCGTTGTAGTAACCAAGTCTGAAGACGGTCGGCAAGTCATCGCCGCATGACATTCGTCGTCCATTAGCTTTGACGGCCATGACGACGACAGTCGATGAGGTCGCGAACGAAGGAACAAGGGTCCACTCATTTTCGTTTGTTAAGCTTTTTTAATGTTGTTTAATCTGCGCTTATCTTTATGCCACGCCACACACGGAGGAGCACAGTACTTGCATAGGTCATTACTTCAATCAGTTTCTGTGGTGGGCAATGTATGTCTACGAGCTACATGTAACCAATCAGTAGTAGCTCTGGGTTCGAATCTTAGCGTGGACATACTTTTTGTGCTGGGAGCTAGTTATCAAACTTGGATCATTCAATTTAGTAATAGTAAAAATAGCAGATGGAGTGTGTTCTGCGACAAGCAGTCTTACCACAATACCAACAGATTACCGCTGCTTGCTGCTGCTGCTGCTGCTTATCAGGAATACAGCACTAACAAGTTTCAAAGATTAGTAGCTGAACCCCTTAGCACGGGATACTTTTTTTTCGTATTTCTTCCTTTCCGCATTTGTTCCGTGAAGTAATCATACATATTCCTGTGTTTCTTCCCAAAATTTGTAGGATATGTAGTTCATTTTTATTGCTACTGTTATATGCAAGGTGGCTTTGTGTGTTCATGTTTTTGTGGTCGAGGGAGCGGGATTTTAGCGTATTGTCTTCTACCTGGCTACGAATGACGAGCTGTGCCGCTTGTGTTCAAGATCTGTCAATTTCGAAACGAAGGCTCAATCCCGCTAATCGCACTCACACTTGAGGGGAATGACCGTTAGACTTTGAATTAACAGCGTCGAGTTTATCTCCTGACCCGTTGTTGTAAGTTATGTATTTTACGTTAGCATCGTCACCTTCCAGTTAGAAAATGACGATACCAACGTAATTCTTTTTAAATATTACAGTTTGATGATTACTACATTTAATTATAGTATATCTCTCATAATGCTTCTGTTGTTGCTTATGATGACGACGTAGTACACGATATCTGTAACATGCGATGAATGTCGCTTTTCCATATTCACGGTTTTCTTTACGATGACAGCGCTGCAGTTGTACAAGCGTTTGATGGTTACGTTAACATTAGTTGGCGATTGACAGGATGCTGAATTACTTAGCTTGGTTTTAGTCGTTGCACGAGGAGCGTCGTTTGTTGGCTGATCGGCCTGAACGTTGCATCATTGTCTTTGTTGTAGCTACCATGGCACTTCGGCCTGGAGTTGCTTGTTCACCTCAAGAAGTTTAGTTGTGCAATATGTATGTTACTTCAGCGACGATAATGCAATGCAGTTTTTCAGTGTTTTATATATGGGCCATTACCCTTATCACGCGCTGTTTTGTTGCCAATGCTCGTTCCAGAGTAGAGATTGAAGGCCCATTCTTTCTTCTAGTCTCGGGCTGTCTCCGTCAGTCCAGTACCAGCGGGCTTCTCTGTCTGCAGTATCAACGCAGCTCCTTGTGAGAGTGGCTGTCGGTGTGTGTACTTCACAGTTCAGACACTGACTTGAGATCTTGTGGCTGGTTAATTACAGTCGTCATTATATGAGGTTATTTCTTTATCCAGCGGTTGATGGTTTAAATAAGTTAAGTGAAAGCCCTAAAGCAAGCAATGTCCACGACCGGCCGTTCAGGCATGGACCCCGCGTACGCAGACGTACGGGAGTCAAACTCCTTATTTGCGCAGAACGGTACGTTAGCATATCTGTTACCTATAAATTCGTGGCTATGTGTATATGTGAGATCTGGTTGTACAGAACCATTGGTATTCTGTAGTGTTAAAGTTACACTGGATAGTCGATGTAAAACATGTTTCTTACAAGGAATCAGTATTACCATTCAACCTACTACTACTACTGCTATGTCACTTATTTTTTGGATATGTCTGTTACAGCTTTCTACATAGGCATTAACGCAACGAAAGAAAGAGATAACTTAGGGAAGTAACTTTCATGTGTGGAAAGTGTCGTAAAAATAATGAAAAAAGTTACTTAATTATAGATACTAGAAGCTGTCATGTGTAATTTATGTATTACAATGAACAGAATCATGTACAGGCTTTTATTGTAAAAATTGCTGCAATGTACTCCGTTATTAGTGAGTTCAATGCCTATGGAGGCGAATGACAATTAACTTTAAGTTACTGGTAACATGTGAAAGAGTACGACGAATTGTGTCGATACTGTGTAAGTGCCTTTTTTGATTAGAGTGGCGAAGGTTTCAGGCTCACAAATTTGTGCATAGAACACGTATGCACTCAAATATAGCCCCTGTCCATATTAACAGAAGACAGCGCAGTGGTGTGTCGTCACGTCTAGGTGAAATGCAACCTATTATTCAAGAACAGTTGATTTGATTTTCGTTAAACGCTCCAGTCAGTTTGAAGCTATCAGTTATTATTATTCCTACGTAACGGGTATATGCCGTGGTCTTTCCATTCAACTCTTCGCGATGTTATTCCAAGGTGTCATTATATTGAACGAGAAACAATACAACTGCGGCGTTACTTGCCAATCACAACTTAGCTTCTGTGATAATTGGGCAGTAATGCCTAAGTAATTTTACTCTCAACGATGTATACAGTATCCGCACATTGGGGTGCGGAGGAATGCCCAAATAATCTGGCTATAGCAGCAGTAAAATACGAGAGCGGCGTATCTAAGGAGGAAGTCGTCCGTTGAACTGCTGCTACTCTTGATTCTGCGGCAAATGTGGCTGGTTATAAATGGCACTATATTCAATCTGCTACATATATA